CGTTCGTTTTTTTTTTTTTTTTTTGTATTTGACATTTTGTGACTGAATTGTTTGACCACAGTGAGGTGGCTCTTCAGCGCACTAGCAGTATGAATGAGACGGGGCCAGTGGTTTGGCACCTTGCCCTTTGCCTGCTGCTTGCCTGGATACTAGTCGGAGCAGCTCTCTTCAAAGGCATAAAGTCCTCTGGGAAGGTTAGTGTTTCACCTCAATAACATTAAATCGTATCTGTACAGTAAATCGTGTTGAGGCAGCAAGAGAACAAAGCATTTTGCATTCAATTTAACATAATAAATGGTACATTTCAGGTGGTGTATTTCACAGCTACTTTCCCATACGTCGTTCTTTTTATCCTGCTGATTCGTGGTGTGACTCTGGAGGGAGCAAAAGATGGCATTGAGTTCTACATCGGTTCAAAGTCTAACCTCACCAAACTGACTGATTCTGAGGTCTGTCAAGAACTAAATACAACTGTCTAAACTTACTGTTCATAATCACAGGAATACACTGATATCAGACAGCTAATGTAGCCTGTTTTTACCATAGGTTTGGAAGGATGCAGCTACTCAGATCTTCTTTTCTCTCTCCATTGCATGGGGTGGTTTGATGGCTCTGTCCTCTTACAATAAGTTTTACAACAACTGCTATCAAGACTCCATTATAGTGTGCGTTACAAACTGTGGCACCAGTGTCTTTGCTGGCTTTGCCATCTTTTCTATCCTTGGACACATGGCGCATGTCTATCAGAGACCAGTGTCAGAAGTTGCAGATGCTGGTAAGATCTGAAATGTAAATGTAGTATTGTTTTTCATTTTTCAGTAATCAAACAAGTGCATTTGCAGAGCAGTTAAGCGTTCTTTTAAAACAAAGAACGTGATAAAATGTGTAGTTTGCCATTAAAGCAATAGTTAAAACAATAATAAACATTCTAGCATGATGTACTCATCCTTGTGTTAGAAGCTAATCCCCAATTTGTGTTTTAGGTTTTGGACTGGCCTTTATTGCATACCCTGATGCTCTTTCTAAGCTGCCCATTTCACCCCTGTGGTCAATACTGTTCTTTGTTATGCTTATTACCCTTGGCTTGGACTCCCAGTTCGCAGGAATAGGTAAAGAAAAGCAGATTTAGATACTGTAAAATAATAAGAAAAAAGTACTCACGTATTTGTCTTAATCTTAATAATAATCATGATTTGTCTACAGAGGTTATTGCCACCTGCCTCCAAGATGCCTATCCCAAGCTTTTGAAGTCCAAGCGAGGAATTGTTACAACAGCAGTCTGCATTGTTCTCTTTTTGCTCGGCTTGCCATGTATCACAAGGGTAGGCAAACCATTTCGAATACTCTTGAGATATACTTTTACAATGATAAAAATGCATTACATGAAAGGTGAATAAGGGAATTCTGCACAAAGTGAACCCAACTGTGCAGTATATTTAAAAGTGCTTTGTTTTGATAGGCAGGAATATATTGGGTGAATTTAATTGACACTTTTTGTGCTGGATGGATTCTCCTGGTCGCTGGATTACTGGAGGTCTTAGGTCTTTCCATCTTGTATGGTGAGTATTAGCAATATGTGGTAATGTTATATGTGCTGCCTGTCTCCAATTATTGTTCTGTTCTTTTCTAAAATGCATGCACATTTTCAGGTGGTAATCGGTTCATCAAAGACATTGAGATGATGATTGGGAGTAAGAGCGCCCTCTTCTGGTTATGGTGGAGAGCTTGCTGGTTTTTTATCACCCCAGTGGTTCTTTCTGTATGTACGCCGTTTTTAAACTATAATTATTATATAAATAATAATAAAGTTATACCTAATGATTATGTTTTTTTTTTACCAGATTATCCTTGTATGGTCCTTGTATACTTTTACATCCCCCACATATGGCTCAGTTGCATATCCAGATTGGGGCATTTCTCTGGGCTGGGGTATGACTGCATTTTGCCTCATTTGGATCCCTATTCTTGCGGTCTGGAAAGTGTACAAAGCTAGTGGAGGCCCTTGGCAGGTAAAGCAGGATGTTCATGTTTTATCTGAGAAAAATGTTTTGATTCTTTTAAAATAATTTTTAATGTATATTAACATGCACAGCATGTCAGTGGTGTGTTGCGTTAGTCATGCGCTATTTGATTCTAAACTTTAGCTTTTGTCATTCAGCGTATCAAAGAAGCCTGTTCACCCACAGAGGACTGGGGTCCTTACTTGGAGTGTCACAGAGGGGAGCGCTATGGTACAAGAGGAGCGACTGATCCAAATATATTTGTGATCTCTAATAAATTCACAACTAGGTTGTAAAAACGTTTTGTTTAAGGATAGTGTTTTAATGTATTTGTACATATATGCATATGTAGCACTAGTCTGTGTAGTTAAGTGAACAAGATAACTTAATATTTTAGTTGTATATAATTGTAATCCTTTTGTTTGATTGCTTGTGCGTTTTCCTTTTTTGTGAGTGTTGAATTGTAGTCCATTTACATTTTTTTGTGGATTTTATTTTTTATCTTTTTAAGAGAGGTTTGTATGTTTACATTTATCTTTTCTTGGTGCTTTGAACATGGAATGAAATCCAAATTATTTTAATTGAAATAAAATATTTATCTTTTAAAAAATAAATATAAATATTCACATTTAAAAAAAATATATAAAATATCAAATCAAACAGAATTTCAAATCAGTACGAGTTAGCAAACAAATAATTGAAAAGTCTTATATTGCATCTTATATATCACATATGACATATTTCTATTTCAAAAAGAGGGGGAGCATTTATGGTGTACATATGAAACATAAAGTACTTACATGTATATATATATATATATTTGAGTTTTTAAAGTAACAGTAATATTCTAAATACAAACATTTTGATTCCCAGGGAACACATGCATCAAATGTTCTCACTCATTTTTTATACAGAAAATGTTCCCATAAGTGAAATTTAGAAGAATAATTTTTGATTACACCTTACTCAGTTGTACAATAAAGTAGATTCTGCATGTTGCGTGTTTCTCTTCAGGGTCAGTCTGTTATCCCTGACCAAGTCATGGCCTAATGGTTAGAGAGTTGGACTCGTAACCCAAAGGTTGCGGGTTCGAGTCTCGTACCGGCAGGGATTGTAGGTGGGGGGAGTGAATGTACAGCGCTCTCTCCCACCTTCAATACCACGACTGAGGTGCCCTTGAGCAAGGCACCGAACCCCCAACTGCTCCCCGGGCGCCGCAGCAAAAAAATGGCTGCCCACTGCTCCGGGTGTTTGTTCACGGTGTGTGTGTGTGTTCACTGCTGTGTGTGTGCACTTTGGATGGGTTAAATGCAGAGCACTAATTCCAAGTATGGGTCACCATACTTGGCCACATGTCACGTCACTCACTCAAAAATCATCCAGGTCCACTGACCATACCATTGCACCTCCAAAGTCAGCCACTGAATCTGTAACTTTTTCAGAAAAACAGATTTACCCAAGATAAGAAAAGATCTGAGGACCATAACCTCACATACTGTAAAAATGTGTTTGTACAAAGCAAGTACCAAAAGCCAAAAAGAGCTTTAACAGATTTTTACTGTTAAAAGCAGCATTTACTGACATTTAATTTGATGAATTTAATGAATCTCCCAAATCAGAAGCCTGAGCAAAAAAACTCAAACAGGTAATTAATGATGGTAAACAATGCTTTACATGCCCAGAAAGCTCTTGATGTTGTCGTAGCCAACCCAGTACGTTACAAAGCACTGAAAGTGTAACAATGAAGAAGTGAAATTTGAATCTGGAACCCAGCACTCTGCAGGACAGCCACACCTGTGATGCAAATATAAACATTTAAATCTCTTTCAGAAATAACTTGTCAAAGCACAACGGTGAATGAATGAGTAGGGAAAATCAGGGGCAATTATACACATAGAGAGAAGGTGTGATTATATCATTTTGTGAGAATTTTTCAAAACAACAGTTAGAATAATGCATAAAAAATACTTTTAGGTATAAAAATAGCTTTTAGATTTCATTATTGTTTTTCTGCCAATATTATTTTTCTGCTGTCTAAAGCGTTTTGTTTTTCAAGTGCCACAAGTGCCGCCTCATCTATTCACTTAGAGGGTGATTAAAACAATTCTTGTATTAAATTAAATACTATGATCTGAGTCTTTTTCTGTTGTAAGTCTATTAATGATGTTTTGGCACAATATCAAGGATTGTATAATATGTAGCAAATATTATAACATTTACTTTTTTGACCTCTTTTACAGGCACTTTCAGTCAGTTTTGAAGATATCCACAGCATTTATATAACTAAAGTATCATGAATTTTGTTTTAGTGCAGTACCAGTTACTACTGCTGTTGTAATCAATCATGTTGTTTACATTCATTTTGAGGTTTATCTTTAAATGTGCTCACCATTAAATGTGCTCACCATAATCATTTGTTTTTTTTAAGGATCCATCAGGTTTGAAGAGCAATGCTTATAAATTGTGACCAGAAAACAATCATCCTAGATCAAGATTTAACACTGTATTTATTTTCACAACAATATAACCACTATTTACACAGTCATTGGGTGCAATTATAGCACCATGTATTACTGTTTTTCTCCATCTTCGTATTTTAATCTATGCCAAGCAGGAATGTATATATTCCTTAAATAAAAATAAAAAAAAAAACAGACCAAAGCACTAATTATTTTAATTTCATGACACATACTCTTCTCAAACCAGAAATGAAAAAAAAAAAAACAACAACACACCCACACAGCATCAGCATCCTTTATGAATACTATTCAATTATTCTCTTTTTAGATAATAATTACAGTGGGTACGGAAAGTATTCAGACCCCCTTAAATTTTTCACTCTGTTATATTGCAGCCATTTGC